ATTCTTTACTTTGTCCCGTTGTTTGCGTATATCCTGAAACGCGATGTGTATGGTTTCCTCCTCCCTCAGTGTTACTCCAGTAACAATCTATAGCAAACTTAACGTTGTCTTTAACATCATATCCTTTACCTTTTATCATTGCTGACCAATCCCAATATCTATGCTTATGCCAACCTGCTTGAGATGTACTTAAATCTATGTAGTGACTATGTGCAGGTAAATTTTCACCTGAAATCGTTTTACTTCCACCTGTTTCCTTTGAAGAGTTTGCACAATACAAAAACCTGTCGACTATTTGAGTCCAAGTTCCAAAACCCAGAACTGTTTCTGGTCTGGTAGAGTTCATTGACGTATAAATAGAGCCTATAGGATATAATGTTTTGAAGTATTTCTGTCTTTAATGTTTGAAGCTCTTTTTTGTCTGCTTTCTTGTCATATAAATCTTGAGCAGTGAATTTAATATTATGTTCATCCTTCATGACATAAACATCTTTACATCTAATGTTTCTCATCGTCGTTATGTCGTCATCCGATGTTAAACCTTGTGGAAAGTTAGGAGGTTTACAATATATTGCATTCCCACCAGTTTCTTCAACCGTTCCTTCAATACTTTCTATAGCAACAGTTGTAAAACTTGTATGTGTATGGTTCTTATTTGCTTTCTTCTCTAACTCATCGTTAACATAAGTTTTATCTGCTTTAAGGTCTAAACATCCTGAAACCCATCCTGTATCGGCTTTAGTTTTTAAAAATCTTTGATGTCCGTTCATGGTACCAGTCAACCCTTTCTATAATTTCTTTATCTTTTTCATCCACATATTCCTTATCTGCTTTCTTCACTAACACACTAGCCATAAGTCCCTTATCTACCTTATTTTCAAGGCTAACGTTTAAGTCTGTTATTTCAGATATAGAATGTGTATGAGTCTTTTTAGAATATTCGTTTTCAGCTCTTGTCACTTCACTTGACATTTTATTGTCAACATATGTTTTGTCTGCTAGTTCAGGATGAGTATGTTCTTTTGTTGCATAAGCATTGTTAGCTCTTTCTTCTTCTTTTTGCTATTGCATCGTCTACATATTCTTTGTCAGCTTTGTTGTCAACATCTGCTTTCAAAAGAAGTTCATTTATAGGTTTCTCGTTTAAAGTTCCTTTTGTTGGATTTATACAGACAGTATTGTTCTTCTTGTCTTGAAACAGAAACTCATCTGTCATTGGGTTTAATGTCAGTTTTAAGTTTCCTTCTTTCAATGACTCAGATATCTTAGAATAGTTTGAAAAGTTTGTTGTGTTCTTATTTAGAGCTTGCATAATGAGTTGTCGGTTGTGTTGTATTTCTCTCATAGACGCTGTTTCATTTGACATTTTTATTCTAGATAAAATATGCTTCCAATAGAAAAAGAAAATTCAAGAGTTGCTACAACTAAACCATTAGATGAACTTTTTACTAATGTCGGTCAAAAGTTTGAGACAGAGACCGTAAAGCATGAAGGCTATCGTTTTGACTACCCATTAAGATGGCTAAGAGACCCATCTGTCACAAAAGCTATTGGCTTTCGTAGAATGAAGTTTGTGTCTGTAGAAGATAAAAGTTTTCCATTTATTGTAAGGTTTCATATAGATTATATATCTGAAGGGAAACGAAAAATGTGGAAGAAATTGAGCTAATACAAGTTGACCTTTCATCTTCTCTACAGACTGCGTTAAAAAATATAGAAGATAAAATAAATTCCTGTTTATGCAAAATATGCTGATGAATATGCAAATACCGAGAGCACACTTTATGTGAGAATTGTATATGACAAACAAAATTCACAAGTGTCATTTCAAATCTACGAAGACAATCCAAAGAAAGACGAACAAATATATACAGAATTCACTGCAATGTCATGGTATTATTTGCAAAGAATGTTAAATCAGAAAGTCGAACTTCCTTTAGCAAATATTTACAGTCGATATGCAAGAGATGAACCATATTTATTTAAAGATGTTTTCGACCCAGCTGCTATTATTGTTCATGCTTCATTTTCTGGCGCCCAAAACTCTTTCTTATGCTTGGCAAATGATTTTTACGAAAAACCTACAAAGTTATACGAACCACCAAGTGGAAGTATTTCAGACTTTCAAGTATGGTTTACTACAGATGGAAGAAAAAGAATAATTCCATTATACCATGCGTTTTACTTAGAACTTAGTTTCATATACAACTACTATCGAACGGTAAAAATATAATTTTTTAATACGGTTGAGGTGTTGGATTTGGTTGCCAACTAGACTGTGGTGCAGGTTCAGGCTGTTGTATAACAGGAGCTTGTTCTTCTGGTTCAGGGTCTTTAGGTATAATACCAACAAACTGACCTACTCTTTTACCAATATTTTTGACTCCGTTCCAAATTCCTCTTCCTACGGTTTTTATTCCATTCCATATACCTCTTCCAACTCTTCTGAAGAAGTTTCCAATACTACTGAAGAAACCCATTTTACTATATGTAAAAATCTAATGTCCGCCAAGTCTCTTACGTTTCCTGTTGAGTTCCATAGCATTCTTTAACTGGAGCTCATACATTCTGTTTCTCCTCTGGTAGAAAACATATTCTGGGTCAACTCCTGTGTTCGCGTCATCTGCATAAAGTTGTTTATATCCCACTTCAGGGTTTGTATAAAACTCTTTCCATCTCATATTTGCATACCATGGTGGCAAACCTAACGCAGCGTCATTTGACATGGCAGTTTGCATTTGTACATCTGTTGGCACTTGACCATAGTTTGCCATTGCAGTTTGTATTCTAACTTCATTTGGAATATTCTCTGGGTTTGGTTGTCCAGGTTGCTGTGCATTCGCTAAGTTCTGTGCGTCCATTTAATATTAGATAAAAATATCTCTTACGAGTACATATACTGAACATTTGCAGGCATTGGTTCATCTTCATATTCTCTGTACTTTTCTGCCACGTCAAATAAATAAATGACACAATGGAAAAAACCTAAAACAAGTAGTCCTATTTCAAACCACATTTACTTACTAATAAAATTTCTTTGTTATGACACTTTCTCCAGTTTATAGGACCTCTCTCATATTCTATCTTGTCATATATAAACTCATAGTCATGTATGTCCTCTAACCATCTCATAACGGTTTCCAAACCACTTTTATCGGATGTAAAGTAAAAGCATGGATGGTTATGTATAACGTCTAAAGTTTCTAAAGAGTCTCTCAAAGTCCAGTCTACTTGGTATTGAAAATCCCATGTGTTATAGAACGGCGGGTCCACTATAAAGAAAACATTTTCCTTGTCTTTATATTTTTCATACAAATCTGTCCAATGACATCTCACAAACTCTATACCCTCAATATATTTTTCTATGTCCTCTTTGAAAACATTTGTATAGTTAAGATATAAAACTTTTGACATAAGTGTTTCAATGTCATGAACTCTTATAGAACCACTATATAATAGTCTAGCAGATATACTATCCCAGTCTATATATTCTGCTTTTTTCAAAACCTCTCTCACAATATTTTTGTTATCTAATGGTATACGTTCCATCTTACCTATAGGTATCTTTTCTTTTAACTCTTTCAATATATTGTTTGTGTCTGGTATATGTTTGAGACGGTCCATATAGTTGTCGAAGTCATTGCATATAATCTTTGAGTCTGGGAATATTATATGACATAAATGGGATATATAGAAACTTCCACCGAACAAATCTACAAATGTTAGACCATTCGGTAGTTTCTTAAGTTCTCTCAATATAATATCTTTACATTTACTCTTATTTCCAAAGAACGGTAACGGTGGTTTTGTAAAATTCATTTATATATAATAATAAAAATGTTTTTCCCTGAAAAGTGACAGAAAAGTGACAAAACATTTACGAAGAAATCATGAAAATTCAAGAGGGTAGAAAAGAGGTTAGAAAAGAGGTTAGATCTAACCTTCTACCCTAAATTATATTTTTGGGTCCTTTACACTCATTACGAAGAAGAAGTCTTGACAAAACATTTACGATGAAATCATGAAAATTCAAGAGGGTGAGAAAACAGGTGAAAAAACAGGTGAGATCTCACCTCTTCACCTAAAATATATTTTTGTCTGATTTTACGAAGAAGTCTTGACAAAACATTTACGAAGAAGTCTTGACAAAACATTTACGATGAAATCATGAAAATTCAAGAGGGTAGAAAACAGGTGAGAAAACAGGTGAGATCTCACCTCTTCACCTAAAATATATTTTTGTCTGATTTTACGAAGAAGTCTTGACAAAACATTTACGAAGAAGTCTTGACAAAACATGAAAACATATATAATTTGTGAAAAGTGACACATTATATAATGTTTTCGACCCAGAAGAAGGTTTTCCGAATAAAAACTTCATTTATACTAAACATCAACAGGGCTAGAGGGCGCAACGCGCCTGGAAGCCCTTCAAAAAACTTCATTTATACTAAACATCAACAGGGCTAGAAGGCACGAAGTGCCTGGAAGCCCCACTACCTTTTTTTTTTTTTTTTTTTTTTCAATATTTCATAGATTTTACTCTCCCAACCGATACCCTTTGCAAATGCGATGAGAGTAAGGCACAAAATAGTTAAAATCTCATATTTTGATAAGAAACAAGGGGGAAGGATAATATATGCAAAAAGTAGGCCATTGTTTTACATTAATTTACATACCACAATGTGAGAAATTCATATTTTGGAAATTGGAGATCCCAGTCGTCATTTCTCCAAATGAGACCCTTAACCAAGTTCTCTTTATTCAATGATAATAAGAAAATTCTAAAAAATATCTTTGAATATCATTTTTTAATGTCTTATTAAGTTCATTCATTTATGAAAAGAAAAAGAAACTAAATTTTATTCTGATTGTCCCTGGATTTTCAAATTATAAATTATTATTGGATAATTTGCGACTTTCTTCAAGATTTTAAAATAAATAGCTTAATTAGAACACACATACGTCATATTCAATTTGCTCATTATGAATTTATTATCATGAATGTAATTTATAAAAAAATAAACGATCACAAAAGGAGTCAAATGTTGCCCTCAGCGAGGAAAGCTGGAAAAAAGCGGCAGCAGGATACCCTTTGCAAACTCCTTGCCGAAACTAAGTATCAAGTCTTCAACATCACAAATGCGGCAAATACCTTTTATGATACAGGTAACAGAGTATTATTTCGCACAGTGTGGATAAAATTTGCAAGAATGATAACTACACAGTATAATATTCAAAATACAAGACGTCTTGCTGAATTATCTCGGGCTTATGATACAATATTTGAATCAAGACTTCGGAAAGCAACATATTTCTGGAGATACAGAATGAAATGGAAAGTAATGATACGAGAAGCAATCATTCAAGATATCAAAACGCAAATTGAGTTTGGAATTCCAGAAATTCAACAAGAAAGAAGGGAAGAACGTGCTGAAAAATGGAATAAATTTGCTAATGCCTTACTCAGAAATGATAGAAACGACAAACTCATCGATGCTGCAAACGAAAACGCAAATGAAAAATTACTTAAAAATTCATTCGAAGATTGGAAGGCTGCATTACAGAAACGTCGCACTGTCAGACAAGCCAGAAGGACGAAATGGATGTCATTATGCGATGCTTACAACCATTTCGTTCAAATGGAAGTTTTCAACCAAATTGTCAACAGAAGAACAAGAAATGAGAAGTGGATTGATTTTGCAAATCGTATTGCTCACAAACAGCTTATTGATGATCTTACAACTGAATATAACAGACTCAAGTTATCGAATATGTTCTATAATATGGCTGTTGATTATCTTTACAAGAAGCAGAAGGACACAATTATTGCAGAGCACTCGAGATTTGTTAATAAGCGCTTATGGAAAGGCTTAATTCGTGAAACAATTGCACTCGCTCATTCAAATTCACTAAAACAAGCAAAGAACAGACTTGACTTAGCAGACAAATTCTCTAAACTTGCTGCAGGAGTCTTAAGAGCTTCATCAATTGCAGCCTGCAACGCTGAAAAAGAAAAATTAGATAATAAGTATGCAGATCAAAGAAAAGAAGAGCTTGTTAAGAGTTGCTTCTACTATTGGCGTGATAAGCAGATCCCAAGAACCTTCACAACCAATCAATTGCAGTCAATCTTTGAGAATTTCATGAAATTATATGAAGAAACAACCCAAAACAACGCTGCAAGGACTATCCAAGACTTCTGGAGAGAGCAATCAGACAGAATAGAGCGAAAACACAACTTAATTAGAGTGTATTTCACGAAATGGCTGAACAAACAACAGAATTTGGTCCGAAATTCTATTGTTTTCCCTCCAATGACTCTCAAATTGCAGCAAGGCATAAACTACGATGTTGCAAACTTCCAAAATGTCCCAGATTTGTCTCATTTCGAGTCATTGGATTTGATGGACTTTTTCAAAGAAACCGCCATCGAAAAGAAAGTTGCTTCTGCAGCTCAAAATGCCGTTGACATCATCCAAATCAAGGATTTCAATCCGACCAAATATATCGACGATAGAATGCCACATTTATTTGACATTTCACCTGAATCTTGTTTCATTTCATCCAAAAATGAACAAAATCTCAAATTCGCAAATTATTTGGTTTACAACGTCAATTTTCCAGATGAAAAACCGTTAACCGTTTTGTCAGAAAATGTCAATAAAAACTCTTTGAGTTTTGATGGTTTGGAGTTGGTAGAAAAGCCAAAAGTATCAGAAGATTTCATAGAAGAAATTGCAGAAGAAGCTGCTTATTCTTCTCAAAAATTCGAAAACAATTTTGTCGAAAAATCGGAAAAATTGAATTTAATGTCGAATTTGAGGAAAGTTTCAGAAATCGACCAATTAAATTCATACGACAAAAACGATATTTTCGATCTCTCAAAAGTTTTCGATCTTCATAGTTTACAATTTACAAAAAGTGACAAATTACTTGACACTTTTGGGAAAATTGATTTTGAGTATAATGTTGAAGATGTCGAAGATGTTGTTGATGATATTGACTTTACACAGATTGTTCCATTGTTTAATACTCCTGTTTCAAGGAAATTACAATGTATTCCATGTTTCTCGAAGTCAGAAGATCTCGAACAAACAATTGACGAAAATGAATTGGCAGATTTGGTCAGAGAGAAGTTTGATCTTGAGATTTACGTAAAAGAAGCTTCACAAATGACAAAAGAAACAAATGATTATATTTTGAGATTAGAAAAAGAGCCAATAATTGTTTATGATAAGACAATTGAATCCGCTGTGACTAATTATCTTGATTTGGATTTGGTTTACGATTTCCTTGAATTTTCTAAAGTAGAACCGATAGAAAACGTGACAGAAGTTGGTGATTTAATAGATATGAATGTTGAAATTGATGAAAATAGGTTAGAAAATGAGATTCTTAAAGTCATTTCTTCAGATACATTTAAGTTTGATGTCAAACCAATAGAAAACATCAAACAAATCGAAGAATTAAAACAAAAAGAAGATATTCCTCATTATGACATTAATTTTGATTTTGATGATATTTACCATGAAAAGAATGCTTTTTATTATTTGACATCTAATGATAATTTATCTCTTGATATAATGGGTGTTGACAAATTAATATCAAAGGAATTTTCTGTTGATTGGCCATTCTTATTAGTTCCTTATTATAAGTTAATCAAGAACTTTGCTCCTCCAGAAATAATTGAAACAAAATATGATGTCAAATTTCAACCAAAAAGTGACTTTTCTAATTTCGAAAAATCTGATATTGAAAAACCATTAGATAATCTTCAAACAATAGGATCACTTGATTACTTAATACAGGCAATATTAAATGAGAAACAAAAAGATCCAAATAATGTAGCAATTGATGTTAATTTTGATTTACAAAATGTCATGAAAACAAATATTTCTTCTCTTAATTCTTATATTAGAGAAGAAATTCCAAGTGAAGAAGAACAAATTTCTAAAGTTGTTTCACCACAGTTTTGTAACCAAAATATCAACATTGATTTTACAAAATTATTCACATCACTTATTAATATTTGTTCAATTTCTGTTCCAGAAAACATCAACATTCCATTTGATTTCGATTTCAACTTTGAAAAACTGAAATTATTTGATAATAATTTGCAAAATGTGACAAAAATTGAAATCCCTCAAAATCAAAACGAAATCAAAGAATTATCAAAGTCTTATTTAGTTGATTTTCCAGTTGTTCCATTTAATATTAATTTATCAAATCTATATCGATTCTGCATTGTTAATCAAGACACATTATTATGTTCATTCAGTATTCCTCTTGACATTTTGGATAAATTTGTTTGCATCAATGATTTCACATCAAAGCTTGAAAATATTTCTAAGATTTCTATTCCTATTAAAGATTTCAATGAGAATTGCATCGAAAGTGATGAATTACAACTTAATTTCAATATTGATGTTGAATCACTTAAATATATCACATTCAATGAACCTCTTCCAGAGAGAGACATCATGATGAAAGATCTTCCTCTTGAAGGTGTAATTGAAGATGTTGTTAATAATGTTTTCGAACACTTTGTTTTGCCAGAGCTGAGAGTTGACGAAGGAATTGACATTTTATCAGTTATTTCTGATGATTTGGATGAAGCATTTTATGAATCTGTTTCATATGCAATCAAACAAACAGAAAATGATAAAGATGAAGAAGAATACGATGAAGAAGCCAATGATATTTCAAAGAGAATGTTTGACCAACTTTCTAAAGAAATCTTAAGTAAACTTGAAGAGAAACAAGAAGAAAACTACAGAGATGATTTCAAGGATTTGATCGACGAAGCACATGAAAATGCTGTTACTTTCGCATTGAAACAAATTTCTAATGATCAAGAACCTGAAGAAGAAGAAAATGACGAAATCATTGATTCCATGTTTGCTGATGTTTATAAAGAATTCACAACCAAGAAATTCGAAGAAGAAATCGATATTTCTCCTATTTCAAGAGATTTGGACGAAGCATTCAAGACATCAATTACTTTTGCATTGAAACCAGAAGAGAAAGAAGAACAGAGAGAAGAAGAAAAGATTTCATTGGAAGAACTTGAAAAGAGTTTGGACAAACAAGTTGCAATTTGTGTTATTAAACTTGTTCTTCGTAATCATAAAGCATTGGGTGCTTTATCAGATGGTTTGGAACAGCCATTACCATTCGAAAGAGTTGAATCAGAACAACAACCACCAAATAACTTCGAAATCGAAGAAGATTTCGATTCAGTTATTTCATCTGTTGTTAATAAATGCATCGAAACAAATGAAGAAGCAATTGAACAATTATCTAGATCATTACCAGATACAATTGCTAAACAAGAAGATCAACAACCATTAGTTGATCCTAAGAAGACATATTTCAGCAATTTGTTCAACGAAATTATCACACAAATTGCAGCAGGATCAGTTGAAGAAATATTCAATTCTATTGATGTATTAGATTACAAACCCAAGAAAGAAAAGTCAACACATGCAAGTAGAAGATCATCCAAAGCTAAAGCACCACATAAAGAAGAAGAAATCAATATTGATGAAATCAAAGAAAGTCTTGATAAGGTTGTTGCAGAAACATCACAAAATTCAGTTCAAAAACACTTTGAAATCGAATTCCCTTCATTTGAAGATGAAGATAAATCTAAAGCTAAAGGAGAAACAATTTCATTTGAACCAAATGATTTCGTAGGTTTGCTTGATTCTTGTTTGTCTAAATCAATTGAAAAGGCACTTAAAATTGATATCGAATTTGGCGAAAACGAAACTAAAGAAGAAATTGAAGAAGAGGAAGAAGCTCCGAATGTTGAATCTGTTCAACGATCTCGAGACATTGATTTCGGCGAAGAACAGCAAGTCACTGAAGAAAAGAAGATTGAATTCACAAACAATGACTTCGATAAATTGTTTGATGATGCTCTTGTTAAATCAGTTAATTTCGCTACAGAAAAAGTTAAAGAAATCGAAATTATTCCAAGTGAAGAAGTCAAAGAAGAAGAGCAAGGAGATAAAGGAATTGATATTGAAAAGGATCTCCAAAATGCTATTGAAGAAGTCGAGAAATCCGCTATTAAATCAACATTTGAAGCTATTTCTTCACTTTCAGAACTAATCCCAGAACAGAAAGAAGAAAAAGCAGAAGGATATGATTTATTCAAAGATTTCGATGAAGAAATCAAGAAATCATCTGAAAACGCTGTTATTAAGAACTTTGAATCCATCTCCGAATTATTCTATCAAATTCCAGATTATCAAGAAAAGCCAGTTGAAGAAAAACCAGAAGAAAAAGAAGAATTTAGTGTTAATAAAGAAGTTGTTCCATTCATCATGAATTCTATTGATGAAACAGTTGTTTGTACTAGTTCTGAAATATGTCATAGACAAATTGATTCATTGTATGATATGTATTACACAATCAAACCAAAGAAAGAGAAAACTCATCACCACAAATCAGAAAAACCTGTTTCCGAGAAGAAACCTGAAGAAATTCCACAAGAAAACAACACTAAAGCCGAAGAAGAGAAACCAGATTACGAATTCGATAAAGCTATCGAAGATGTTGTTTCGCAATCAGTTCAATCAGCCATTTCTCGTGAATACTGTTCTATCATCGATGAAGAAAAAGAAGAAAAACCAGCTAAAGAAGAAGTTAAAGAACCAGAAGTTGAAATTGACTTTGATAAAACAATTGAAGAATTTGTTCAAGAATCAGTTTGTAAGTTATTCGAAATTGAGTTTTGTTTTAATGGAGAACCTGAACAAGAAAAGAAAGAAACTCCACTTGATGTTTCCAAAGAAATCAGTCAACTTCTTGACAATACTTTGTCTAAATCTATTCAATATTCACTTGAAAGATGCAAAGAACTCGATACTGTTGTTGAAGAAACACCTGAAGAAGAAGAGAATGAAGAATTTGAAGATAAAGAAGAATCATCTGAATCATCAGAAATTGATGAAACAGAAATTAGTCAAAAGATGTTTGATGATGTTTGTAAATCATTAATCGAAACCAAACTCGAAGAAAAACCAGAGGAAATCGATGTCATTCCAGAATATTCTAAGTTGTTTGATGAATCACTTTCTAAATCAATTGTTTTCGCATTGAAACCAAAAGAAGAAGAAATCAATGTCATTCCAGACATCTCAAAACTTTTGGACAATGCATTCAAGACATCAATTGCATACGCTGCGGTTCCTCATAATGAAGTCAAACCTCCAAAGAAGGAAAATAAACCAATTTCTCCACAAGGATCTCCTAGATCAAAATCAATTAAATTGACCGAATTAAATGTCTCATTTGATCATGTTTTACATGATTTGTTACAAACATTCATCCAGAGCGAAGTCACAGCAATCAATGATTTAATTGATGATTACATTGCATCTTCAGGAACAGAAGTTCCAGAATCACCTCTCAAACAAGCATATTCTATTGACAAATTCTTCCGTGATGTTTCACGACCAGGTTTCGAACCACCAGGAATGGATCGAGCTAAAGTTCTTGAACAACTTTATGATTTCATCGAAAACGAGTTTGATCAAATTATTTGTACAAGTTCGTTATCAGCTATCAACCAAACACAAGAAGGCATCAATGAAATGATCCACAATCTTAAAGATAAATCAACAGAAAAGCATCATTCTCATCATCACAAAGATAAAGCAACAAAAGAAAAACCATCCAAGAAATCAGTTGAACCTCCAAAATCAGAAAACAATTTAGCACCAAAACCAAGGAATTCTAATGCTCCTAAATATGATTTATCTCAACTTTCTAAATCGATTGATGAATCTATTGAAGATGTTTCTAAACCTATTGTTCCAGATATATTAACTCGTGATTATAACATGACTTCCGAAAGAGATGATTCAAAAGAAAATATTTCAAGAAACTTGAAACCAAGAACCGTTGAAAGTATTGAAGAAGAAACACCTGATCATATGAATGAAATTCGAAAATCACTTGATCGAGCAATTGAAGATGTTTCAAAGAATTGTGTTGAATCAAATCTCGACATCTCTTTGTAATTTTATTTTTGTCATAATATTGTTTATTAAATTTTGTAATTAAAACTATTTGTATTTTATATTAAAATAACTTATAAATGTACAAAATGATTCAAGATTTCAATTTTAAACAAGCGTATTTATTCTGATTGAATGCCAAAATGGAACGGATGCAAGTCAAATATTTAAAAATTATTAATGAGCGCTTTTAAGGGTATAATTACGCACATCTGACTTTAGTCCAAATTTCATCTAAGATTCAAAACTTCAAGAATCTTTCCAACAAGTTTTGGCTTTCATCAATGTCTATTCACACCGACAAGTCAATCAAAATCATTGGATGGCTGGATGTTTTATGTGATGGCCTATGCATTCTTCCCTAGTCGCTCCAAAGTTTACGATCTTTACAACGAATTATAAGTAAAGAAGCTCATTAAAAATACATATGATTTTATACTTTGTATTTTTAAGCTTATTAAAAAGATTCATATATTTCTTGCAAATTTGACGAAATTATTATTTATTAAGGCGGATAAAAATTTTCCTAGAAACTAAATTCGAAATAGATGTATTTGGAATGAAAACAGATTCTTTTCTATTTTTGCTAAGAATTCTGCATAAAAATGAGGAGTATAAATTAGAAAGAATTATTTCTTCCATGTTCTTTGAATTTTGAATATATTCATTTGTTGGAAATGTATTATCTGTCTCAAAATGGCAATCATTTACATTAGCTCTACCAATATAAAATAATTTAGTAGCATCGTTTCTCTTGAAGAAGCATTCATTTAATGTAAGCGTAGCTCCAATATTACTAAAAATTCCACCACCAGTTTCTGTAACCTTATTATCCACAACATTACAGTAAGAGAAATTTTGTGTATTTATCTGATGAAAAAAGCAACATTGTCTATTTGATGAAATATTATTAAAATTACTAAAATTAGTTATGGAGAGAGAAAATGGTTCATAACTACAAAATGCCGCATTTATATTTAGCTGTGAATGTGAGATATTTAATGATGAAAATTGAAGAGATCCATATTTATGCCATAAAACTGACTGCAATCCATTATTTTGAGAAAATGACGACTCAATAACAAAATTTTTATAACTTTCTTCATTTGTCACTTGAATATATGAATGAGATCCATATTGATTTGTATTGGATTCATAACTGTAGACTTTATGTTGAACGCAAGAGCCTGAAGATAAAAAATATATAGATCCTCCATGAATTGTAGAAGAGTATTTAAAAAAAGAAGAAGTTGAAACAAGAACCTTTGTATCATTAGTTGAAGAGATCCGAATAACACCTGATTCAGTAAAGTTTCGGAAGCAAACGTTATCAACAAAGACATGATCATTTTGTATGACTTTTTGACTTGAGTAAACAAATGTGTCAATTGTTGATGAATCATAAAATCTATTCCAGACATCATAAGAAGGTCTCGAGAAATGTAATTCTTTTGTTCTTTCTTTATATCTGAGTTTTAATTACACTTTTCAAATAAAAATGGTTTTCAATGGTTTGCAAATCATAAAATTTCAGATTTGGACAATAGAAAAATATTGAATTAAATAGTTGATTGAATATAGAAATGAACTTTAGAATATTTCTTCCAAAAATTATTTTATTACAATTTTTGAATATATAAGAAGACAAACCGTCGGCAGTGAATTTGGGAAAAATTTAACCTATCCAAAAGTATTAATAAATTCTCTTTATTCAATATGTAATGCTAACAAAGTAGTTTGAGCATAATTTTTTAACTGTCAAACTTGCAGAACTTCGATCGTATAATCCAAAATATAGTTATTTGGATCTGGTTAATGACATATGATTATTGAGTCGATTTTTAGCAGCTTATTTTGTGTAATGGTTCCAATTTTCACTGGTTGAGTTATGGAAAAGAATGGAATGTATTTAATTATACAGATAATAATCGTTTGAATTATGCATAATTTTTTCATTGGTAAACTTATCAATCATTAAGATTGGTTCTAAACTATAAAAGGGAATTGATTTGATTTGCACTCATTGAATGCAAATAATTCAATGCTTTGTACTAAGATAGGAAAATATGATAGCTATTGAATGATAAGGCTTCATCTGAGATAATTCCAGTTGATGATCGAATCACACACTCAACACTAAGATCTAAAACTTCAAGAATCTTTCATGCAAGCTTCATCACATAAATATATCAAAATCAATGAGTGGATCAATGTTTTATGTGATGTCAGATGCTAAGATTACCAGTTTTCACAAGACATACTTATTTATAAACCCCAAACGAATAAAGGAATTTTATGATCAATCCTATAGACGCAAAAATGGATGATTAAAATGCAACTATTTAATAACTAGTAGATCAACGATTACTCAAAAACACTGGAATGGATCCTGAAATACAAATATTCGGGAAAATAATTGAATCTTTTTTATTTCTGCTTATAACTTCGCATAAAAACGAAGAATGCAATTTAGAAAGAATTATTTCTGTCATTTCCTTTGGATATCTAATATTTATTTGATCTGTAAATTTATTATCTGATTCAATATGACATCTAAAAACATAAGTAGTTGTTACTCTAAAACTATATAAATAAGAAGCTTTGTTTGCTTTGAAGAAGCATTGTTCTATAGTCAATTCAGCACCAGACAAAGGACAGAAAATCTGATCATAATTTTGAAAAACTGTGTTATTAATAACATTGCTAAATTCGAATTGATGCGTATTATATTCGTGTAAAAAACAACATCGTCTCTCTGATGTAATATTATAGAAATTACTAAAATCAGTTGTTGAAAGGGAATATGGTCTTAAACTTTCAAAAGCTGCATTTCCTTGTGATTTTGAATTAGTGATATTTATCGATGAAAAAATCTGAGATCCATATTTATGATACATTATAGTATTTCGCCCTGTACTTTGAGTAAATGATGATTCAATAACATAATTCACGTGGTTTTCATCATTTGTCACTTCAATATATGAATGAGCTCCTGAGAAAAATTCTAAATATGGTAACTTACATCCATAACTACATATTTTGTATTGAACGAATGATCCTGATTTTGAAAGATATATACACCCTCCGTCACATCTAGAAGAGGCATTAAAAAATGAAGAAGTTGAAACAAGAACTTTTGTGTCATAATATGGATTATTTATTCGAATAATACCTGATTCATCAAAGTTTTCAAAAAGAACGCATTCAACAAAGACATGTTCGTTTTCAGTAACTTTTTGACTTGTGTTAACAAATTTGTCAATTGATGCAGCACGATAAAATCTTATCCAAAGGTCTTTTGAAGGTCCTGAGAAGTGAAAATCTTTTTCTCTTGCTCTTTTTCTATGATTTTCTTTTTCCTCTTCATACAAATAATATTTTCAATAGTTTACATTTGTCATATCATTTCAAATGACTGTAAATTTTTTTCTCAGGATTATTAGTAAAATACTGCAAATAACGAAGTATAAATACTATATAAATAACTGAAAATGAAGAAAAATTTAACTCATTGCATGAGTTTTGCTAAGCAATTGACAATAAATGTTCTCAGAAAAATTCATTATCTATGAACAAGGTATCAGCCTTAATCTTGTAATAAACAGAAATTCATCAAAAGTGACAGCTCTCAATTTTTTGACATTTGTAAATTCTAAATTGAATGAGAAAAATGAAATAATACTAAGCATAATACAATATTCTAGATTTAATTATAATTAGGAAAAAGTTAGTTTTGAGAGTACTTTTCATAGGCATATAGAATGAAATCTTCTGAAAAATAATATCACATAAACTCATATTATTTTCTAATATATAACTATTTTATATAAAAATCAAATTCAATGATCTTAAAAGCGAATGATAAACCTCAAAATTTACGAATATAATGAGTGGGAATATAATGCTTATCTATCATAAAACCATATGAAATATCAATTTTTGCTTTACGCCTAATTTTTGACGACAATTAGCAAAAAATGTTAAATGTTAACACTCAGTCCATTTGAATATGAAAATAAAATTGACTTTGATTAAATGTTTTTATTTATCATGCAATTCTTCTTGCGACCAAAGATTTGAATAAAAGTTCAAAAAATAAGATAGCTTAAAAAATAATATACGGTAGTGTTTACTAATAGATGAATAGTATATAAATTCTATTAAAATGGATTTGATCCAAAAAATATAAAACCAAAAATAATTGTTATAATTTAAATGAAGAAGTAATTTAAAACGATTTTATTTATGATCAAATTTTATATATTTTTTTTGGATCAAATCCATTTTAATAGAATTTATATACTATTCATCTATTAGTAAACACTACCGTATATTATTTTTTAAGCTATCTTATTTTTTGAACTTTTATTCAAATCTTTGGTCGCAAGAAGAATTGCATGATAAATAAAAACATTTAATCAAAGTCAATTTTATTTTTCATATTCAAATGGACTGAGTGTTAACATTTAACATTTTTTGCTAATTGTCGTCAAAAATTAGGCGTAAAGCAAAAATTGATATTTCATATGGTTTTATGATAGATAAGCATTATATTCCCACTCATTATATTCGTAAATTTTGAGGTTTATCATTCGCTTTTAAGATCATTGAATTTGATTTTTATATAAAATAGTTATATATTAGAAAATAATATGAGTTTATGTGATATTATTTTTCAGAAGATTTTGTGTTCTTCTTCAAAATTTTATTTTTTATTAAAAAGAATCTTTACAAAATATACATTTACTTTAATTAATATTTAAAAACGTGCTCTATCAAAAGTTCCAAAAATTCAATATTTTAGCTTTTCTGAGGTGTCACTTTTGATGAATTTCTGTTTACAACAATCTTGACAAGTTCTCACTAATATAACATCTATGTCCCAATAAACTCTAAATAAGGGCTTGATTTTTTTTTTAAGACATAGATGATAAGGGAATATATTAGTTTTCCTCTTCTTTTTTGGGAAGATGTTTTCGATACTTATTTTGTCAATATAGAGGAATAGACAGAAAATTGAAGATTAATTTTGAAAATATTCATAGTCTATGTGAATCTTATTTATAGCTCACTTCCTCTTAGCTTTGGATCTAGGAGTTGGCGGTCTCTTGCTTTTTGTAAGTTGTTTTGATAAATAATTACCCAGACATTCTTTGATATTAATATCTTTTGTTTCATTAAGTAGTATAGGACTTGAAAATAAACCCAGTGCCTTTTCATAGTCTTCAAATTCGTTTGATGATTTTGTTTCTTGCTCTTCTTTCACTTTAACAATAGGAACTGGGCTTTGGCTTGATACCATAATTACTTCACTATCAGAATCTCCGATGACCTCCTCATTGACAATGACTTTCTTGGAGCTCATCGATAAAAAGTGACAATCTCTACAAAAAATGGATGTTTTTCATCAAAAATTCGAAGTTCTGAAATCCCTAATGGAAACAGAAGGATCTTTTGATGTTAAGAGAGCAGCCAGCCTTATTGCTGACCTTAAAAATTCCTTAATTGACGCACCTTATTTGACCAACCAAGAATCTACTCTCGATAAGACTGAAAGGATAAACTTCAGAACACTTTTAGAATATGATGCAATTGTATGCATCAAAACCAGGGCTATATCTGATTTTTCAAGAATAATGACTCAATTAAGATGCTCCTACTTTAGTTCTCCAGACTTACTACTTTCAGAGAGAATGCCACTGCTTGTCTCTATCAATCTCATTCATTTACTTGCTACAAATGACATCTCCGAATTTCAAATTGAATATCAACACGCGAAAGATTTAATAGGAAACAACAAATACTTATCATATGTTACAGAAGTTTATCGCTTACTCGCAGATAACTCATTCACTCGTTTATTCCCAATTATTGCAGCTCCTCCATCAGATCTCTTTACACAATTCGCTTCAGACCTATTAAATAACACTAGAAATAATCATGCGGATTCAATAGAGAAATCATATGAGAAATTACATATAAATGAAATTAAAAAATTATTACATTTCAATACAATAGAAGATGCTCAAGCATTTGCAACTAAACGTGGATGGACTTTCGATGCGAATGGTTATGCGCTGTTCAAAGCTAATTCAGAACAAAAAGCAAAACTTACAGAAAAATCTGTTGAGAGATTTGTAGATTTAGCAATCCAGATCTCTTCATTTGCATAAATACTTGATAATTATTTGAGTTCTTTCATAAATAATATATTTTTATTTTTATAAATTTTATTTTCTTGAAAATTATACGAGAAATAACTATGGATTAAATAATTCACGTCCTAAATGTTTATAATATCTTGAACTAAGTGATTTTAAGATAGGAAATATGAAAATTTGATTTTTTTACGCAATATTTTGTATGTATTAATCAATAGCGCTCGGTGTATATTAAATATTACATATTTCCGCATAGTTTCACCAAGAATTGAACTTAAGTATTCGGAGAAGCTACCGAGACCTTTTAAGAATTTCTATCATTATGATCGGAATTTTTGATAAAAGTATTTATACCTATTTTGCAGTGATGATTTCTTTTTGAATGATTTTGAATTGTGATGTTAACGATAAAAAATTTTTTGACACGTAAAAATAAATAATTTTTTATTTTTATGCTATCATTATGGGATATTGTTGAATCTGAAGCAAAACTACTTGGTAACCAAGCAGAAAAGAGACCTTCTAGGATCATTAAATCTGATCCAAAGGCTTTTTCTCTTCAGAACAATATCCCATTAGCGGAAAAAGTAGTACAATTATTAAATTCATCTATTAATTTTCAAATTTGCTGGGCACTTTCGAATGTCCCTCGTCTTGTTTCAGAAGGATCGATAAGCATCGAAACAATAAAATTCATTCCTCACCTTTATGAAACACCATCGGCAAAACTAGAGCAGTCAGCTGCTCGAGCTACTCTAGAAATACTTAAAATTGATCCAGATATTTATAAACCTATATTTTTAGAACCATTATTAAAAAGAATTCAGTCACAGCCTGTAGTTGAATACATGCAGTGCATACAAGCGTTATCAACTGCCTTAACAGAAGATGAAGTCACCAATCATATTTGGCCAATTATTACTAGTATGATGAAAATGACTATACATCATCAGCATTGCGCATTATCCATGTTATTAATAATAGATCCCGAGTTATTTAATGTACAGAGAGAATCTTTCGACCAATTTATTAATTATCCCTTATTTATTAACGAATATTTATCAAAAGTTGCAGAATTATTCCATCCCGTTTTTGGTGACGAATGGATCTACAGTATTATACCACAGAAGCTTTTTGAGTTCTCTCAAAAGGATGAATCTTATAGAAACGGATTTGTTCGTTACATCTCTCAATATCCATCACAGATTACTCTTCCTACTTTATATTCAATGATTATTGAAGCCTTCAACTGGGCAAAGACAGATCTCGTTATCGCGTTAGATTTACTTTCTCATGCAGACGAATTCATGGGATCTCGATACCAAACACTTGCTTCTTCGATACTTTCTACAGCAAGAAGTGTTGCAAACTCACCAGATCCGAAATCGCAACTTAGATTTCTTCCAATTTTCCTTCAACAAGATTATCTCTTAAATGGCATTGAAACAACTACACAATACATATTAGAAGTCCTTGGCCGATCAGAAAATGCAGAAGAAGTACAAGTATCATTTATAAATAACGCTCATTTATTATATCACAAATTAGAAAATCAAAGAATGAAAGAACTCGTTCTAAAACTTTTTGCTTTAAAGTTCACATCTCAAAGTCTTAAAGTAAAAGAAACTGTTGCGTTGAGTCCTATGATTATGGAATTACATGTTTTCGGAGGTGCGAGTTCTGCACGATTAATTGCAGATTTAGCAAATTATTTTTATAATAGATGGAGATTTTTTTCTCGTTGTTTGCAAGCATTAGAACTATATGCAGTTCCTATTTTAATTGTTGTTATTAAGACATTCTTACCTGTTATACAGAAAGCTGTTGAACTTAATCCGCAAGCTCTTACGAAGACAGCAATTGATTTTTACACGAGATTTATGCGTGATTTCACAGAAGAAATTCGACCAGCGAATTTATTGAAATATTTATGGACAACGTTTGGTAAAAGTAATAGATATGATATGCGTCGATTCTATGTTGATTTGTCTATGTCATATGTTTCTTTCATTCCAAGGATTTTGTTCGAAGAAGAAGTTTGGTGTCATTTTAAAACAGAATTTTTGACTGAAAAAGTTCCACTTGTTAAAGCACGAATTTTACAATTCTTGATCAGTGTTAATCATTATTATGATTTTGGACAGAACGAAGATTACAGGGAAGATTCAATGAACATATCGAATAGTTTTAATTCAGATGTTAGTTGTAAAGATCCACAAGTTTCATTATTAATTGATGATTTGAATAAAATCATTGAAGAAGCACGAACTAAAAATCCAATGACACCAACACATTCACATTCTGCTTCTGTCTCTATTGCATATAAAGGAAATCAGAATAAACCAGTGAAACCACCACCAATCCAAGGATTCAAGAGACCTGTCACTCCTAAAAATGTTATTTTGAGTAACACAGGAAGACAATTAGTTACACCACGAACTCGTAATTCATCAAGTCGAAGGAACAACACTCCACAACCATCCATCAGCAATTCATCTATTAAGAAGATGGGGATTGCATAAAGATACTAATTATTTTACTTTTTATTCATGATAATTTTTTGTGTTTATTTTTATTTTTGATTTATTTTATTTTAAAACTGAATTTTGTGTTTTTTTAAAAGATCTGAAAAATATTCATTTGAATCACAAATTAATTTGAAAATTGAAAACTTATTCACTTTCACAATTTTTGAATTGTCTATAACAGTTGGATCCGAATTCAATTTCAAATAAAAAAAATGATAAAATTCAATGTGAAAATTGAAAGAATTATTGAAAAAATAAATGCAATTTTAAGCAAGTGCATATGAATAATATGCAACATATAATTGAATTTTCAATTATTCGACCCTAGTGTAGCACAACCAAAAGTTACTAACGTCACAAGTGCAAATGAAGCTATCTATAGATTATCTTATCCTTGCAGTTCCAATCTTTTATGTACTCCGTATATCACAACCCTTCAACCAGGAAAATACAAATTTGAAGTATTTGGTGCTGGAGGTGGAGACTATTCTTCTTCATATACTGGAGGCAAAGGAGGTGTTAGTACTGGATATTACATAAATAATGTATTCACAACAGCTTACTTTTTCATTGGAGGGAGAGGGGAAGATGCAAGTAAATATAATAATCAAAAAGTGAATCCTCCAGGGGGATACAACGGCGGCGGTTCTAGCGGTTTTGACACGGTCTACAATACATTAGGTGCTAGTGGTGGAGGAAGTAGTTATATCAGAATTGGATTAAATTCTAAAGAGAATTCCAAAGAGAGAAGAATAATTGTTGCAGGTGCTGGTGGAGGTGCATGTTGTGAAGCAAATGGAGGTGATGCTGGCGGTTTGACAGGAAGCAATGGTTCAAGTTATAGAACCGGACATGGAGGTACTGGAGGTAGTCAAGAATCAGGAGGCATAGCTTTTTCAGGAAGGTGTGCTACAAATGGAGATTTTGGTCTTGGAGGCCTAGGATCGACTAATCAAAAAGCATATGGTTCTGGGGGAGGTGGAAGCGGTTATTATGGCGGCGCTGGAGGGTCATCGACAGAAAATCATGGTTCTGGCTATTGTGGTGGTGGAGGAGGGGGTAGTGGCTACATCGGAGGTGTCTGGAGTTCATCAGAATACAATATTGTTGTTGAAACAAAGCCTAGAATCAATCGAGGAAATGGTTATATTATTGTCACTTTTTATCATTGAAAAGATATTGAAAATCCGATTTAATCTTAGATATCAACTGCGCAAATAAATATATTGACAACATTAGATGAATTTTCAATTATATGACACTAATGCAGGACAACCAAAAGTTACAAATGTCACAACTGCAGATCTTGTTGTTGTTTATATATTATTATATCCTTGCAGTTCTAGCACTTCTTGTACTCCATATACAACAACACTTCAGCCTGGAAAATACAAATTTGAAGTGTTCGGTGCTGGAGGTGGAGACTACGAATCAACACCGAATACTGGAGGAAAAGGAGGTGTTAGTACGGGGTATTACATAAATAATGTATCTACTACAGCTTACTTTTTTATTGGAGGGAAAGGAGTAGGTTCAAGTAAGGGAGGATATAACGGCGGCGGTTCTGGCGGTTATGATTCAAACAATCCTATTGGATCTGGTGGTGGTGGTAGCAGTGATATCAGAATAGGATTAAATTCTAAAGAGAAAAGAATAATTGTTGCAGGTGCTGGCGGTGGTGGGTGCTATTCAGCAAAAGGAGGTGATGCTGGCGGTTTGACAGGTAGCGATGGTACTACTAATATCTATGGCCAGGGAGGTACAGGAGGCAATCAAGAATCAGGAGGTACGGTTTATTCAGGAAGCGGTGCAACAAATGGAGATTTAGGTCTTGGAGGCCAAGGATCGTCTAATCCGCAAGCATGGGGTTCTGGGGGAGGTGGAAGCGGTTATTATGGCGGCGCAGGAGGGTCATCAACACTAACTCATAATGATGGTGGTGGCTATTGTGGTGGTGGTGGTGGAGGTAGTGGCTACATTGGAGGTGTTTGGAGTTCCCCAGAATACGATATAGTGGCAGAAACTAAACCCGGGACTAATATGGGTAATGGTTATATTATTATTTCTTTTTATGGATTTTTATCCCCGAAGAAAAAACTTTGCAATACCATGAAGAATATATGTGAGTTAAGGTCAAATCTGTATTACTATCTATCATGTTTAATAATGATCGATGCCTCTTAATTTTCTTTAGTTTAGATTTTTTTGTTTTTTTCAATGTCACATAATAAATAAACCTTTGTCTTAATATGTAAATAGAGTTTTTGATAATAATTAAGAGATAATGCAGTTACTTTCAGGAATAATTATTAAATTGCAAACCAGAATTATTCATTCACAAGATTGAGAAAGTATTTATTATTATAATTGACTTTATTAAAAAAAAAAAAAAAAAAAAAAAAAAAGGTAGTGGGGCTTCCAGGCACTTCGTGCCTTCTAGCCCCGAAGATGTTTAGTATAAATGAAGTTTAGAGGACATACATGACTGTGAGTTTTATTTACGACAAGATAGAATATGAGAGAGGTCCTATAAACCGGACAAGTAAGGGTCATATAAACATCTGTCATTTTACTCAGAATTTTATACAGAATTCAATAAAAATATATTTTAGGGTAGAAGGGTATATCTACCCCGTTTTCTACCCTCATTTCTACCCTCTTGAATTTTCATGAAATTTACACCAAAAATATATTTTAGGGTAGAAGGGTATATCTACCCCGTTTTCTACCCTCATTTCTACCCTCTTGAATTTTCATGAAATTTACACCAAAAATATATTTTAGGGTAGAAGGGTATATCTAACCTCTTTTCTAACCTCTTTTCTACCCTCTTGAATTTTCATGAAATTTACACCAAAAATATACTACTAGGGTCATTTACGAAGAAATCTCAACAAAGTCTTTACGATGAAGTCTTGACAAAGTCTTTACGAAGAAGTCTCAACAAAGTCTTTACGAAGAAGTCTCAACAAAGTCTTTACGAAGAAGTCTTAACAAAGTCTTTACGAAGAAATTCATGAAAATTCAAGAGGGTAGAAAAGAGGTTAGAAAAGAGGTTAGATATACCCTTCTACCCTAAAATATATTTTTGGGTCATTTACACTCATTTACGAAGAAATCTCAACAAAGTCTTTACGAAGAAGTCACAATAAAACATCTGTCAAAAGCCGCTTTTCTGTCACTTTTCAGGTAAAAACATTTTTATTATATATATATAAAATGAATTTTACAAAACCACCGTTACCCTTCTTTGGAAATAAGAGTAGATGTAAAGATATTCTATTGAGAGAACTTAAGAAACTACCGAATGGTCTAACATTTGTAGATTTGTTCGGTGGAAGTTTCTATATATCTCATTTGTGCCATACTGTATTTCCTGACTCAAAGATTATATGCAATGACTTCGACAACTATATGAACCGTCTCAAACATATACCAGACACAAACAAAATATTGAAAGAGTTAAAAGAAAAGATACCTATAGGTAAGATGGAACGTATACCATTAGATAAGAAAAATACTGTCAGAGAGGTTTTGAAAAAAGCAGAGTATATTGACTGGGATAGTATATCTTCTAGACTATTGTATAGTGGTTCTATAAGAGTTCATGACATTGAAACACTTATGTCAAAAGTTTTATATCTTAACTATACAAAGGTTTTCAAAGAGAACATAGAAAAATATACTGAGGGTATAGAGTTTGTGAGATGTCGTTGGACAGAGTTGTATGAAAAATATAAAGACAAGGAAAATGTTTTCTTTATAGTAGACCCGCCGTTCTATAACACATATGATTTTCAATACCAAGTAGACTGGACTTTGAGAGACTCTTTAGAAACTTTAGACGTTGTACATAACCATCCATGCTTTTACTTTACATCCGATAAAAGTGGTTTGGAAAGTGTCATGAGATGGTTAGAGGACATACATGACTATGAGTTTAGATACGATAAGATAGAATATGAGAGAGGTCCTATAAACCGGAGAAAGTGTCATAACAAAGAAATTTTATTGGTAAGTAAATGTGGTTTGAAATAGGACTACTTGTTTTAGGTTTTTTCCATTGTGTCATTTACTTATTTGACGTGGCAGAAAGATATAGAGAATATGAAGATGAACCAATGCCTGCAAATGTCCAGTATATGTACTCGTAAGAGATATTTTTATCTAATATTAAATGGACGCACAGAACTTAGCGAATGCACAGCAACCTGGACAACCAAACCCAGAGAATATTCCAAATGAAGTTAGAATACAAACTGCAATGGCAAACTATGGTCAAGTGCCAACAGATGTACAAATGCAAACTGCCATGTCAAATGACGCTGCGTTAGGCTTACCACCATGGTATGCAAATATGAGATGGAAAGAGTTTTATACAAACCCTGAAGTGGGATATAAACAACTCTATGCAGATGACGCGAACACAGGAGTTGACCCAGAGTATGTTTTCTACCAGAGGAGAAATAGAATGTATGAGCTCCAGTTAAAGAATGCTATGGAACTCAACAGGAAACGTAAGAGACTAGGTGGACATTAGATTTTTACATATAGTAAAATGGGTTTCTTCAGTAGTATTGGAAACTTCTTTCGAAATGTTGGAAGAGGTATATGGAATGGAATAAAAACCGTAGGAAGGGGAGTATGGAACGGAGTCAAAAATATTGGCAAAAGAGTAGGTCAGTTCGTTGGTATTATACCTAAAGACCCTGAACCAGAAGAACAAGCTCCTGTTATACAACAGCCTGAACCTGCACCACAGTCTAGTTGGCAACCAAATCCAACACCTCAACCGTATTAAAAAATCATATTTTTACCGTTCGATAGTAGTTGTATATGAAACTAAGTTCTAAGTAAAACGCGTGGTATAATGGAATTATTCTCTTTCTTCCATCTGTAGTAAACCATACTTGAAAGTCTGAAATACTTCCACTTGGTGGTTCGTATAGCTTTGTAGGTTTTTCGTAAAAGTCATTTGCCAAGCATAAAAAAGAGTTTTGTGCACCAGAAAATGAAGCATGAACTATAATAGCATCTGAGTCGAAAACATTTTCATATGTTCCATTAGGGTTTTCGACTTCATAAAAGTTCGGGTGTACTGGATATTCTGCAGGCTGATTTAACATCCTCAAAAATCTATACCATGCCAAGTTGTTATATTTTGTAGAAATATAAACGTCTTCTCCAAGGTCTTCTATTCTATTGATTTTAACAGTTGCATTTTTCCTGTCATATATAATATCGAGATGGTACTCTCCTTCGTCAATGTTGTACTGTTTTGCATATTCGAGATAGATATCGTTTATTTTTTCTTGAAAAGCTTGAAGAGTTGTTTCTAAGTTTACAAGCAAATTCACTTGTAAAAGTTTTCCCTGTTCAAATTTCTCATACGTACGTTTCTCTTTGTTATAGTATCGAATTTCAAAAGCGACCGTAAATGGGAAACCATGTATGGCTTCTGAAATGAACTTCATTCTACGAAAGCCAACAGCTTTTGTGACGGATGGGTCTCTTAACCATCTTAACGGGTAGTCAAAACGATAGCCTTCATGCTTTACGGTCTCTGTCTCAAACTTTTGACCGACATTCGTAAAAAGTTCATCTAATGGTTTAGTTGTAGCAACTCTTGAATTTTCTTTTTCTATTGGAAGCATATTTTATCTAGAATAAAAATGTCAAATGAAACAGCGTCTATGAGAGAAATAAAACACAACCGACAACTCATTTTGCAAGCTCTAAATAAGAACACAACAAACTTTTCAAACTATTCTAAGATATCTGAGTCATTGAAAGAAGGAAACTTAAAACTGACATTAAACCCAATGACAGACGAGTTTCTGTTTCAAGACAGTAAGAACCATACTGTCTGTATAAATCCAACAAAAGGAACTTTAAACGAGAAACCTATATCTGAACTTCTTTTGAAAGCAGATATTGACAACAAAGCTGACAAAGAGTATGTCATTGAAAAAGTTCAAGAAGAACATGACAGAGCAGATGCAACATATGCAACAAAAGAACATACTCATCCTGAACTAGCGGACAAAACATATGTTGACAATAAAATGTCAAGTGAAGTGACAAGAGCTGACAAAGAATATTCTAAAAAGACTCATACACATACCATTGCAAATATTACAAACTTACAAGAAACCTTAAACAGGAAAAGTGACGTTGGACATACACATACCATTGCAAATATTACAAACTTACAAGAAACCTTAAACAGGAAAAGTGACGTTGGACATACACATACCATTGCAAATATTACAAACTTACAAGAAACCTTAAACAGGAAAAGTGACGTTGGACATACACATACCATTGCAAATATTACAAACTTACAAGAAACCTTAAACAGGAAAAGTGACGTTGGACATACACATACCATTGCAAATATTACAAACTTACAAGAAACCTTAAACAGGAAAAGTGACGTTGGACATACACATACCATTGCAAATATTACAAACTTACAAGAAACCTTAAACAGGAAAAGTGCCGTTGGACATACACATACATCTTCTGAAATAACAGACTTAAACGTTAGCCTTGAAAAGAAAGCAGATAAAACATATGTCAATGAAATATACCAAAGTTTAGTTGGAACAAAAAATATTGAAACTATGGTTGGTGACTTTTCTGTCTATGAAGAAAACAAATATTTTAGATGGGAGTTTGTACAGTCCTTAGAAAATGGTACACGGTATAAACTCATTCCGAAAAATAACAATGAAATGTATGTAAGCTATAAAAAGAGTGATGGTACACAAGTTAAAGTTCCATTAGACAACAACTGCTACTTAAACTTCTATGGAGACGAACAAAAGAAATATTTAAGAGTTTATGAAATGGCAGATATGACATTGCCTGACCCAGCTCCAGCACCATATTATTATGATATGGAGATGACGTTAGAACACCACATGTAGATGAACAAAAGCTAACATTATATTTAGATTTTTATAGATATAAAAGATATAATGCAATAGAAAAAACGAGAATAGTATACTATTATGAAGATGACAGAAATAAATATTATAGTCAAGACTTTACCTACCCTGAAACATAAGATTATATTATAAAAAATATTCTAACACAAACCAGAAGAAACCTGAAATAGTTGCACTATATTTTAAGTTCAAAAGAGACAATCCTATAATATCTCATATGTTTGATTTAAT